TTTTTTGATTAAAATATTTGAAACAAAATTAAAATATTTATTTTTGTTTAGAAGAATTTCAGTTTGTGTGGTAACAGGAAAATCTTTAAGGAAAAAGTGAGTAAACTTAACAGATTTTGTTCCCCCTTACCATAACTTTTATCTTCCTATTTTACCGTTCTTTCTGGGGAAGTTGGAAAAGTTAAAACTTATAATTTATTCCCCCCCCCTTCAGAGAAAAAAATTAAAGTTTTGAATTTGAAAATAGAATTTTAATTTTGTAGTCTGTCCAAAGTATATAATTTTTAACATAAATTAGCTTCTACTGTGTCTGTCAAATATTCACACATACTATTAACTCAAAAAAATATTACAATTAAAAAAATGAATAAATCACACTGTTAATAAAAATACCAATTGAAATGTATTAAATATTTTGGATTTTTCTACCTTTTCAGATAAATTGATCTGTTACAACGCAGAATACAAAGTGTACGGTGCTTATTATATTATTTTGATTACAAATCTTTGCATTGTAAAAATGATAAAAGCAAGATTATTTTTCCAATAATCTCATACAAGTACTGTAGTGCATTCTATTTGTTGTGAAAGTGTAACTTACAAATGAGGATTTGTTTTTGTTATGTAGCTACACTCTTAAGACCATGTAAAACTTTAGAGCTTACAAGTCTACTCAGACCTATTTTTATGTAGCTACACTCTAAGACCATGTAAAACTTTAGAGCTTACAAGTCTACTCAGACCTAGTATTTTTTTCAGCCAATTGCTCAGATAAACAAGTTTGCTTATATTTATGGGAGATAGTGCTGCCTGCTTCTTATTTACGTTACCTGAAAGTGAGAAAATGCTTTCACATGGCACTTTTCTAGATGGCATTGCAAGGTATTTGTGTTAGATGTGTCAAATGTGCATATACCCCTTCGTGCTTCGGCCACCATTCCAGGGGCCATGCTTCCATATTGATGATGCTTGATTTAAAAAAAAAAGTATGAATGAATTTGTGATTAAACTGCTTGGGGGAGAATTGTATGTCTTCTCTTCTGTTTTACACACAATATGCTATATATTTCATGTTATAGTCATCTTGAATGATGACCTAGTTAATTTTCGTTTTAAAAATACTTTCACTGCAATTGAAACCTTGTATGCCATGTTTCTGCCCATGGTGAAATGTATAGTTGTGATAAACTGAGAAGGATTTTGTGTAAGAAACACACAACACCTCTAGACAATGTCACTTCTGCATCTGACAGACTTTACAAACCAGTACGTGTTAGAGAAAGTGACCTTTTTACCAATTACTGAAATGCGACTGTGTCTTTGAAGTGAAGTGCAACACTATAGAGCAGTTATGGCAAAATGAAAAATACCTGAACTTGAAACTAAAGGAGAGTTTTTTGTAGAATGTGTGCATATACTCAAACATTATGCTATCTACTGTTGTATTCCTGCTACCCCCCAAAAAGGGAGATTTTTTTTTTAAATGGCAAGGAACATGTCTCATCACATTTGAAAGTACTAGTAGAGACAGCCAATCCCCTGGCAAAGCCAACTCTTATCTAAATAGAACAGTGGTCTCCAACCTTCTTAAGCACAAGATCACTTTTTGAATTTAAGTGGAATCCAGGATTTACCTCAGACCCAAATACCCTTGCCCTGCTCCTTTGTGCCCCTTCTCTGAGGCCCTACCCCTGCTTCCTCCATCCTCCCTCCCTTTCACCAGGTAGGAGCAGAGGGTTGGGGGACAGGCTCTGGTCTTCAACTAAGGGATCTGGAGTGTGAGGGGGGGGCTCTGAGCTGAACCTGGGGCAGAGAGTTGGGTTGCAGGAGGGGGTTCAGGGTACAGGCTCTGTAGGGGAGTCTGGGTCCAGGGGGCTCTGGGCTAGGGCAGGGATTTGGAGTACAGAAAGAGGGTTCATGACTGGGGTAGGGATGTAGGATTCTGGGTCCAGCTGGACACTGCTTACCTCAAGTGGCTCCTGGGTGGTGGTACAGTGGGGCTAAGGCAGGCTCACCCCTTTCCTGGCCCTGCACCGCTCAAAAGCAGCCAGCAAACTCCCTCCATCCCAAGCCCTGTGCTCCCCTTCTTCCGTTCTGTGGAGATAGAATACAGGGTGGTAGTGGGGCACCCTGATATCAGTGCCCCCTCTCTCCCTTCCCTGCTCTGCACAGCAAGCAGGAGGCTCCAGGAATGGAGGGTGGGGGGCAGCTCCAAGACCAAGGGCAGGAGATGCACAGCAGTGGGGAAAGGGCAGCTGAAGTTGGGTCCTTAATAGCTTTTTGGCTAAACCAGTCAGGGACACCTGTCACAGGCTCCAATATCTACCAGTAGATCCTGATTTACTGTTTGGTCACCACTGAAATAGAACAACTTGCAAGGCTGTAACTACACTAGCAACATTTTCTGTATAGGAGTACTAGTGTACTGTACTGGGAAAGAGCTCTATGTGGACACAATTTATACAAGCAAAGCTACACCTTTACTCGTATCTGATTCCCCTCTCCCTGCATAATAACTATATCCATAAAAGCATGGCTTTCATAGAACACTAGAACTGGAAGGGACCTCGAGGGGTCATCAAGTCCAGTCCCCTGCCTTCACGCAGGACCAAGAACTGTCTAGATCATCCCTGACAGGTGTCTGTGTAACCTGCTCTTCTATATCTCCTATCCCCAGAGGCCAAGAAGAACAATTTTTCTCCCTCCTTTATAACACCTCTTTAGATACTTGAAAACCACTATCATGTCCTCTCTCAATCTTCTCTTTTCTAAACTAAACAAGCCCAGTTCTTTCAGTCTTCCCTCATAGCTCCTGTTTTCTAGACCTTTAATAATTTTTGTTGTTCTTCTCTGAACCGTCTCCAATTTCTCCACATCTTTCTCGAAATGTGGTGCAAAGAACTGGACACAATACTCTAATTTAGGCCTAATCAGCATAGAATAGTGCAGAAGAATGACTTTCGTGTCTTGTTCACAACACTCCTATTAATGCATCCTAAAATCATGTTTGCTTTTTTGCAAGTATGACACTGTTTACTCATGTTTAACTTGTCGTCCCCTGTGACCCCGAGATCCCTTTCAGCAATACTTCTTTCTAGACAGTCATTCCCAATCTTTTTGAGTGTGTCTAGACTACAGGGTTGGGTTTTTTTTTAAGTGGCCTTTTTTTTTAACTTCCCCTGCATCTAGGCTGTTGCCGCGTCTTTCGAAAGTAAATCGAAAGAACGCGGCAGTTTTTTTCGACCTCAGAAAACCTCATTTTATGAGGAAGAACGTCTTTTTTCTGAAGTGCTCTTTCAAAAAAAGGCGCTATGTAATGCAAACTGTGCTTTTTCGAAAGAGCATCCAAATTGCCTAGGTGCTCTCTTTTGAAAAAGCGGCTTGCTTTTTTGAAGGTACTGGTTGTAGTCTACACGCTTTTTTTCAAAAGAGGCTTTTTCAGAAGTATCTTTTGAAAAAGCCTCTTTTGAGAAAGAGGCTTGCAGTCTAGACTGCCTATATGAAACTGATTGATTGTTCCTTCATTTTGATCATTTTGATTTTTTTGACCTTATCTTCCAAAGGAGTTGCAGGCTCCCCCCCAAAGCTTGGTATCATCTCCAAATTTAATAATAATTCTCTCTCTGTCATCAACTAAATTGTTGATGAAGATATTGAACAGAACCGGTCCCAAAACAGACCCCTGCAGAACCCCATTCGTTATGCCCTTCCAGCAGGAACCCTGAGAAGAATTATCCAGCCAGTTATGCCCAGCAGGAACCATTAATAACTACACCCTGAGAAGAATTATCCAGCCAGTTATGCATCCACCATCTAGGTTGTATTTCCCTAGTTTAATGATAAGATCATGTGAGACCGTGTGAAATGCCTTACTAAAGTCTAGGTATACCACATCCACCGCTTCTCCCTTATCCACAAGACTTGTTATCCTATCAAAGAGAGCTATCAGATTAGTTTGACATGATTTGTTCTTTACAAATCCATGCTGGCTGTTACCTATCACCTTCTATCTTCCAGATGTTTGCAGATGAATTCCTTAAATACTTGCTTCATTATCTTCCCTGGCTTTGCCAGTATAAATGAGGGAAATCCTACAATAGAGTGCTGTGATGACGAGAAAGTGTTCTGCTGTCTGTATCTCCATGAGAGATGGAAGCTAGGTTGGTGGGAGAACAGCTTAAGTGGTAGCATAGACCAGCCCTAACTCTGTAGCAGGGGCTTATACCCGCATAGCTGTGATGGTCAGGGACCAGACCCCTGACTGATTTCTATGTTGGCTGAAATCTGTAGTCTTGACATAGTTTAAGAATCTGTTTCCATTGTGCCTAAGAAAAACAGAGTGTATAATATCCAAGCAAGGTAGTGTCTTTAAACTAACTCCAGAAGTAATTGCAGATATGAAAGGGCAAATGCGTCAAATAAAAATACAGCCAGGTGTGTATATAAAGAACTTCAGAGAAGTCAGAAATGGAAAAGATCGGTCTTTTCTGATTAGTTCCATTAGTTTTACATAAACTGCAATCCACAGCTGCAGCTGATTCTGATTTTGAAATCTGAACTCAAATCTGGTTCCCATGGCCTGAAATAATAATCTATACATTTTTTTAAAACCTTTCCGTTAACATCAACAAAATACCATAGATTTGTTGTTTTTATTTAGCCAGACAGCAATATTGTGTAACTATTTATCTTAATCTTTCTGAACAGTTCTAATACATTTAATATGTGGCGATATAATACTCCAATGATCTTAATGATCGGTGCTTGCCTACCATTTTATGGAAAAGAGTGCTGAGGGGCAATCTCTTACAAAAAGTTCAGTGGGCTCTTCAATGATCAAAGTGTCAATTAAAAGGCATTAAAAAATTGAATAGGTGACTGAAAATGTCTTTGCAATGTTAAAAGATCTGTTGTCAGGGTAGCTAATTTGTTAAGATAATGTATTTTGTAACATGTTTTTAACAAAAGTTTGTGCTAATTTTGTTTTGATTTGATTTCAGCTGTTGGATTGGGATCTTGGTGCTTCCACATGACCCTGAAGTATGAAATGCAGGTTAGTACTAATAGCAGATGTAAATAACCTCATATGGGTATCTCACTATTGTCCCCTAGCATGCATTTGTTGGGGGGTTTAAATTGAGTAAACAAATGCTTTTGGTGATTTCCTTTTCCCTGATAGGAATAAAAAAAAAGTGGTGGTTTAAGTACCTTTTAAGCCTGGCAGAGATGTCAAAAGAATTTTCACTCTAAAGGCAAACAAAGCATGTCATGTTAGGAATTTGTTCTTAGCTAATCTATTTTTATTTGATTTACATGTAAAATAAATTTAAGTATTCCTTGTAGGTCACTGGGCATAACTCCTTTCAGCATAGATCAAGTGTGAGCCCTACTTTGTTAGCCATTGATATTGATGTACATGCAGGAATGTATACTGGTTTCTAAACCAGTACTGTAAAAAATTGTCTATTTTTAGTAGAAAGGACTTTACCTTTTAGGAGACTGTTAGGCTGTGTCTACACTGGCACCCCTTTCCGGAAAAGGGATGCTAATGAGAGCAGTCGGAATTGCAAATGCTGCGGGGGATTTAAATATCCCCCGCGGCATGGCTGTTGCTTTTCTCCGGCTCGGGGTTTTGCCGGAGAAAAGCGCCAGTCTAGACGAGATCTTGCGGAAAATAAGCCCTTTTCCGGAAGATCCCTTATTCCTACTTTCAAGTATTCCTATTTTCCGCAAGATCCCGTTTAGACTGGCGCTTTTCTCCAGCAAAACCCCAAGCCGGAAAAAAGTGGCAGCCATGTTCATGCAAATGCCACAGGGGATATTTAAATCCCCCGCGGCATTTGCAATTCCGACTGCTCTCATTAGCATCCCTTTTCCGGAAAGGGGTGCCAGTGTAGACACAGCCTTATAGTTTTCACTTGTGATGTTGTAATGTTAAGCTATATTGCAGCTCTGATTTCATACTGAAAGTTATTGTTTAGGATTATTTTGTTGTCCAATGGTATCCTTGTGTATTGCTTAATGTTGTAGCAGTATAAAACTGTGTTTCTGGATGTGCATCTGCCCTTGGCACTGAAGTCAAGACTCTGGGGAAAGCATTAATTGTTGCCCCGCTTCTCCATTTGGGAATAACAAAAGAACATAAGAATGGCCGTACTGGGTCAGACCACAGGTCCATCTAGCCCAGTGGCCAGCACCAGGTGCCCCAGAGAGGATGGACTGAAGATAGCGATCAAGCGATTTGTCTCCTGCCATCCTTCTCCAGCCTCTGACAGACAGAGGCCAGAGACACCATTTCTATCCCTTGGCTAATAGCCTTTTATGGACCTAACCTCCATGAATTTATCGAGCTCTTTTTAAACTCTGTTATAGTCCTAGCCTTCACAGCCTCCTCTGGCAAGGAGTTCCACAGGTTGACTACACGCTGTGTGAAGAAGAACTTTCTTTTATTAGTTTTAAACCTTCTACCCATTAATTTCATTTGGTGTCCTCTAGTTCTTATATTATGGGAACTAATAAATAATTTTTCTTTATCTGTCCTCTCCACACCACTCATGATTTTATAGACCTCTATCATATCCCCCCTTGGTCTCCTCTTTTCTAAACTGAAAAGTCCCAGTCGCTTTAACCTCTCTTCATATGGGACCAGTTCCAAACCCCTAATCATTTTAGTTGCCCTTTTCTGAACCCTGTCCAAGGCCAAATTATCTTTTTTGAGGTGAGGAGACCACATCTGTACACAGTATTCAAGATGTGGGCGTACCATAGTTTCATGAGGTTGTTTAGCAATACACTGTAGGGATGAACATTCTAATCTGAATATAAAGTCATTCTCAGGAGGATTTAAAGGGCTTTGTCCTGTACCTGAGAACAGAAGACACATTCATCCTCTCGGAGTCCAGTTTAGGGTGGTGATGACCTCCATAATGTTCTCCCATATGTCCATGGAATTTATTGGAGGCATACAGCTTCCATGATGTGTATTTAATGCAGTGGTCTCCAACCTTTTTACACCCAAGATCACTTTTTAAATGTCAGGGCAAGCCAGGATCTACCCCATTATTTCCCTGAGACCCCACCCCTTAAGACCCCACCCACTCCAAATCTTTCCATGAACTACCTGTTGTTAATGGAAACTCACCGTTAATTACATAATTACGCCCAAACCATTCTGCTAGTGCTGCATCTGGGGAGAATGGTTTAATTTAAATTATTAAACAGATTAAGCATTCTAATTTTCTCATGTTAGTTTATCAAACTTCATTTTAAATAAAGTAAAATATTAATTTATGTCCAACACAAAAGGGTTTCAACATTTTCTTTATTTATGGCAGGGATGGGGAACCTTTTTTTGGGCGCTTGACCCACAGAAAAATTAATTGGGCACCATACAAATGAGAAGCAAAAAACTCCTCCCAACCCTCACTGATGTGGCCCCCAACTGAGACACCTCAGTTTTCTGGCATTCCAGCCCGCATGGGGTGAGGGAGAGGGGCAAGGAAGACTGAGGTTCAGGGCTTCTTGTAATCCAGATTTACTTTCCTGAGGTTCTGGAGTTAGTGGATTTTGTGGACCCCTTAGGCTCTTGGGTGTGGCTAACAATGAGGATAGGGATACAGGATCCGGGTGGGTGGTGGAGTGCAGGACAGGGTTAGGAGAACCAGGTCTGGAAGGGATTTTGGCGGCAGGAAAGGGTGTGGGGTTGAGGTATGAGAGGGAGTTTGGGGGTGGGAGGAGGTTAGGGGAGTAATGCAGAAAAGGTGAGAGGGTGAGATTGCAGCCAAACAGGTAGCTGGCGAGGGAGTCGAAGTGTGGAGTAAAGAAAAGTGTCACTTCTGCAAAGTAAAATTGTATCCCCCCTCACATCTTCCCTCTGCTCCAGTCTCACACCCGTCAGCCCCATGATTCCCATCCAGCCTGCACCCCTGCATTGCCCCATTCTCCTCACTGCAACCCCTGCCCCCCCATCCCGCCCGCACATCCTCCTTCACCTCTGCTCCTGCCACCACATCCCTGTGCCCCCAGCGCACTCACCAGCAGGACAGCAGAACTGGAACTCGCAGCTTCCCAGGAACAGCTTTGGGTAGAGGTGCAGGGGGGAGCATAGTCTCCTCCCGGCCCAGCCCAGCCCTTTGTCTGCAGGCAATGGCTCTGGGGCTGGGGCAGGCAGAGTCTGGGGCTGCCGAGGGCTGGCTCCAGCCCAGTCATGCACAGCGGTGCAGTGGGGAAGAGGCTCCGTGAACCTGCACACAGCCATCCAGGTGCAGCGGGGTGCTGGGGAAGGGGCTCCCTGACCCTGCACACAACTCTCAGGGAACAGTGCGGTGTAGCCTGGGCCCCAGCATACCACCTGTGCTGGCCGCCCAGCCCAGCCCTCTCCTGGAGCAGGAGGCAAGAGTCAGAGATGCATGCATGTGCGCGCAAGTGCACCCCTTCCCTCCAGCTGGTGAGTTAACAAAGAGGGGCAGCCTTGCCCCTCTTTGATTCAGCCCAGCTGGAGCCCAGTACAACCTCAGCGGGCTGAATGCCGCAGACAGCTGGCTGGGCAGCTGTACCTCTTTGCTCTAGTCCAGCTTGCCACAGCATTCAGCCTGCTGAGGCTGCGCAGCACTCCATCTGGGCTGGATCACAGAGGGTCAGCCAGCTAGCCTGTGGCAATCTGTTCTTACGGGTGTCACGATCGACCGGTTGATCAGTTGATGGGTTGGTGACCACTGATTTAATGTATAAAATACCAAAGCTTTTACATGTGCAAGGACACTTCTAGTTCCAATTGCTACACAGCACTCAATGTTTAGTTTATAGAAGCAGCTAATCTAAATGTGAGGGATTCACAATTACCCTTATTACTAGTTAAGTCCCCCTTGGCAGAAAAAGTACATTCCGTCCTGTTATTCATTGTGTCTGTGGATCAACACTGGAAAGTCGTCATTCACAGTGGTTCAAGTGGTAACTTTCACAGGAGCTATAATTAACTCTATTGCAAACAGGCAATCAGACAGAATTGGGCAGTAAAGGGAAAAAGGCAAGGGCTTCAGAATACCTGTTCTAGTGGATGCCTGAAAAGCATCTGCCAAAACTGTTTAGTGGGCAGCTACATCAGCTCACCATGTCACTTTCCAAGGTTCCTCAGTGCTCGAGCATCCAGCCGTTCAGACTTCTCTCTAAGGATTGATTCACATCCTCCTCCTTGCCATGGACCATGCTGTCTTATGCAGGGAATTGGTTCTCACATAGTTGGAATCTGTTTGAACCTCTAGGAGATTTACTCTACTATTTTGTCCTTGAAAGCTACCAAAATGTGCATTTCAGAGGTTGTCCAGTTTTGAACATTTTGGCTATACTAATTGTTTGGTTTTGTTTTATTTTCTTCCATGGAATCTTAATTTATGAACATGCCTTTTTTTTTAAAGAAGGCACTATATGGATTGATCATGTAGCTCTGCCTCATCACACCTTTAAAAATTGAAATTTCAAAAATGCAAAGAATGGTTTAAGCAAACTGTGGGTGGTTCATCTCCTCAAAAAATGGAGGAGTACAGGATCTTTTGAAATGGGGCATTTCTGTCAAATGCCCCATCTAAACTACTGGGTTTTTTTTTGGGGGGGGGGGGGGTTTTCTCAAAATACGCTATTTTGGAAAAGCAGCCGGCTGCCATTATTCAAATGAAGCGTGGGAAATTCAAATCCTGGCTTCATTTGAAATATCGATGTCCCTAATTTACATCCCTTTATCAAAAAAGGGATGTAGTCTAGACGTAGCCTAAATGTTTTGAGCAGGTTATGAAGCACATGGGTTAAGTAGGTCCTGTACTATAGGATTTTAAAAAAAATTCCTGGAAATTTCGTAAATATTTTAAAGGAACATAGGAGAATGAAAATGGCAGAGATCTGTGAACACATGCTTTCTCGTAAAATGTAATATTGGAAAGATTCAGTTAACCAAGAATATTCATCTGGCTTTCTAATATTGAGAAGCATTTGGTGTCCTGTAATATATAAAATACAGTCAAGAAGCTGGGTATGAAAACTTCTTTAAAAAGCTCTACTTAACAAGTAACTCCCCTTAATTAGCTTACATCAGAGTGTATGAGTTAAAAGTAATTTTCATGTTTTGGTGTCTATCTGCTTTTTGTAGCTATTGGATGAGCTGCCAATGATATACAGTTGTTGTGTGTTTGTCTACTGCCTGTAAGTATTTTGTCAGATGTTTCTAATATTTGAAAGCTACTTTTATGTAATGTAATACATGGGATCCAATCTGCTTATATTGAAATTGATGCTAAAATATCTGTGCAGTACTCAATACAGTCAACAATTTCACTAACTGTAAAGAATCATTATCTAATGTGCAGGAAGTCTGACTTCTAGTCTTGGCTTTTTTAACTTAGACCTTCCATGTGACTAGGGGCAGGTTGCTTAATCTCTTTATTTCCCTAGCTGTAAATGAAGCATAAAACTTTGGATAAAGATAATACTGTGATAAGCCCTGAGAAATGTGAATAAATAAGCCAAATTGCCTCTCTACTTAACAGGGATCTTGAATTAATATTTGTAAAAAACACTTTGCAGATGGTAAGCACTATATACAGTTAAAATTAAGCATTATTTAGTATGTAGAAAACAAGAGTTAAGAAACTTGCAAAAACAGCATGGTTATTATCCATTAGGGACAATGTGATATGACCTGTGCTCCAAATGTAAACTTCTAAATTCTGGTCAAACCCACTTTCTATACCTATTTAAAAAAATTCTCAAGGAAACTAAATACTTTATGGATGAGTGTCCTGGAAAAACTATCATTTTGGCACATCCAAAGTTGTTCTCCTTCTTTGTTCAGGGAGCTGTGTTCTATTTTGCAACTCCAGCAAATGAGTCAAGTTATTCATTACTGTCTTTCCCACCTGTCACAGCCCATCTCTGAAACAACATAGTGGGCTGTGCCTTAAAAATCCAACTAATGAAACAGAGATGAAACTGTTGTGTAGCTATCCTCTGTCTGCTCTTCCATTGAGGACTTCTTGGATTACACTTTGTCTAGAACCTCACCTTTGACCATTCTGCCATGGGTGACCCTAAGGGAGTACACGACTCCAGGCAGCATTGCTCTCGGGGGTCATTGGAACACGCAAGCTTCTCCACCACTACAAGATGGTGATCCATGGAAGGATGCAGAAGATAGAGGATCTCCAAGTGTCATGGTGTCCATGCCATTGGTTTCAAACCCTCTATCAAGGACAGTGTGGTGACTATTGTGCACCAGTTTCCCCACTTTAAAAGAAATCCTACACAGGCATCTTCCAGTTTTTGGGAAAACACCTGCACAAGTCAGAAGACCGGTGGTGACTGGCGAGCAATGACAGGAATGAGACAGAGAGATCTGGAAGTTCCTAGTCACAGACCAAAACACAGGCTCTGGGTATGTGATTCAGTTGTCTTGCTCGAGGACTGATGCAAGTCAAGCATCTCGGTGGCTGCACCCATGACTGAGCAGTCCTCTTTAAGACCCACTCTGCTCACCCCACATGGGGAGGGTACTAGAAAAAGTGCCATAAAATAGTCTTGCCTCTTTTCCTCTTGGCTGGATAGCCACATCAAGCAGGTTCACCACCCCAGCGGTCAAAAATGTAAGAAACTTTTCAACTTTGGAATCTGTAATACACATATTCTGATGGACAACTCACACAGTGACCAACCAGAATGATGTACAGCTATCATTGCTCGTGAATTGAATTAGCTTAACATAGATATTGCCACCTCGTCCAAAACTTAGGGAGGAAAATGGAGGATACACCTACTTCTGGAAGGGAAAGTCTTTGGATGAACATCAATTGTATGGAACAGGCTGTGCTATAAAGAACAAGCTTGTAAGGTGCCTCTCTGAGCTGCCCGTATTCATCAGTGAGCGGCGTATGACACTGAGGCTCACCAAAAACTAACAAGTAACTATTGTGAGCACCTATGCACAAGCAGTGGACGCCAGCGAGGACATAAAGGAAGAATTCTACTCTTAGCTGTAAACCATTTTATTGGAGACCTCTAAAGAAGATAAGATCATTCTTTTGGGGGATTTCAATGCACGTGTTGGACAAGACTCAGACCTGTGAAAAGAAACAATCGGGAAAGAAGGAGCTGGCAAAAGCAACTCAGATGGAATTCTGCTTCTGTTCAAGTATGCTGACATGAATTTGTCATCACAAACACCCTTTTTCAACAAACAGACAGGTTCAAACCATCTTGGAGACACCCACATTCAAAGCACTGGCATCTTCTCAACTATGTCTAGTTCGATTTTGTAGTGACTTATGTCTCACAAGAGCAATGACAAGTGCTGATGACTGCTGGACTGATCATCACCTCACTCAGTCCACAATGAAAATTAAGATTGCACCCAAATGGAGGCTGCAAAAAAAGCTGATCAGGTTCAAGTTGAAGGTTGAGGCTCTGAAGGACCCCATTAAGCATGACCACTTCCAAGCAGTCTTAGAAGAAAAGCTTCCATCAGAGTTTCTGGAAGAAATTAAGGAACATTGGAGCCAGCTGAAAGCAGTAATCATCAATACTTGAGGAAGCCATAGGCTACCACACCAGAAAGCGTTAGGACTGGTTTGAGAATGATGTTGAAATCAAGCAGTTCATCAGTGAGAAGAAAATGGCATTTCATGCTTCGCAGAAAGATAGAAATTGCAATACAAAGAGACGCTAATACTAAGGTGTGGGTGCAAGTCCAATGTAAAACCAGAGAACTAAAGAACAAATGGTGGACTGAAAGAGCACAAGAACTCCGATATTTCGTGGACACCCATAATATATGGGTTCTTTAGCACCATTAAGGCTGTTTATAGGCCAGCTTGTCATGGCATGAACCCCCCTTTGCTCTAAGGATGGAACCACACTTTTGAAGGATAGCAAAACCATTAATTTTTGCTAGAAAGAACATTTGAAGATATTAATCATAACTACATGTTTGCAGATGAAGTTCTTGAGCATATCCCCCAACGACCTCCCAATTTGCAAGAGGTATACAAAGACCAGAGTTAATTTGGCAGTTTAGCCTGCTTATGCTTAAAATCTGGATGAAGGTGGAGATACCACGATAGTTTCCACAGTCTGCTTTATCCCCTTTCTTAGAGAAGATAACAATCAAGGTATCCCTCATTTCAATGGGTATCTCTCTCCTTCCTGTTGCAGGCAAAGTTCTGGCGCAGATCCTTCTGCCTCTGTCAGAAGAAATTTTACCAGAGTCATAGAATGGCTTCTGACCATGTCACAGAACTGCAGATATGATCTTCACTGCGTGGCAGCTGCAATAAAAGCATTGGGAGCAAAACCGACCACTGTACATGACTTTTATTGATCTAACTCAGGATTTCCCAACCTATGGGTCGGGACCCAAATATGGGTTGCCGTTACATTTCAAAAGGGTCGCCAAGTGTCTCCCCAGGTGACTCTGCCCTCCCTCCTCCACCCGTTTTTGAATTGCCTTGGATCACCAAGTCTTCCTGAATTGTCAAAATGGGTCCCCATCTGGAAAAGGTTGGGAACTGCTGATCTAACTAAAGCCTTTGACTCAGTGAATCACTGTGCCCTTTGGATTGTACTTTCCAAGATTGGATATCCTGATAAATACATCAGTGTCCTAAAGTTGCTTCATGACAATATGAAAGCGACAGTTCTGAGCAGCACTGGTTCCCAGAGTGAACCTTTCAAAGTACAAATAGCAGTCAAATAGGGCTATATCATCTCCCCCATCATGTTTGTGGACTTTATTGCCATCATTTTTAACCTAATTGCTGGGAAGCTCTCAGCTGGTGTTGAAATTATCTACAGAATGAATGGAAAGCTGTTTAGGCTTAGCAGGCTGAAAGCTAAGAGTAATATTTCTACCACATCTATTGTGGAACTTCAGTATGCTTATGACAATGCAGTTTTTGCCCACTCCGAGAGAGATCTTGAAGCTATCTTGAAAGTGTTTGCTGATGCTTATGCATATCTTGGTCTCAGCATCAAGAAGATCAAAGTTCTCCATCAGTTCTCTCCAAATGGGGTACCATATGTCCCATCTATTAAAATCAACAGCGAGGCATTGGAGAATGATTATCATTTTTTCTACCTTGGAAGTTATCTTTCATCCAAGGCAGATATTGATGTAGAAATCCAGAATGGTCTAAGATGTGCCAGTGAAGCATTTGCTCATTTACGGCACAAGGTTTCTGAAGATCATGACATTCAAACAGACACCAAACTTCTTGTCTAGCATGCCGTCATTCTCCAAGCACTATTTTAACTTAAAGAAGTGCAACATTGTTGTTGACACTTGGGAGACACTCGCCTAACATTGCTCAAAATGGAGAGAAATCCTACACAATGGCTGCGTGCATTTTGAATTTGCCCAAAAGAGGCACAAGAGGAAGGGGAGACTGGCTTCTAGTCATGGTCAGCAGCCTCCTGCTGTACCTGGAAACATCTGTCCTCCTTGTAATAGAACTTGTGGTTTAAGGGTCAGCATTAACAGCCACCTGATGGTTCACAGCTCCCATGGAAGATGATCATACTCAGCAACAAGTGATCACCCATCACCATCAATGAAACAGCCATTTGTTCCTGTTACCTAGCAGTGAGTTTGACTACTTAAATAGGTATAGTTTTATTGATGTCTGCCTGTGGCTTGTGGATGAAATAGAATAGTGTTGGGGCAAATACTTAGCTGGGGTAAAATATCATAGCTGCGTTCATTGCCGTTTAGACCAGCTATGATGTAAAACTTTGGTCCATAATATTTTAATTCTTTAAAATTGTTTTGCTTTAATCAGAACCCATCCTAGAATCATAGAACCATAGGGTTAGAAGGGGCCACTAGGGTCATCTAGTTCAGTGAGTCTAACCCCCTTCCAAGGTGCAGGATTTCCTGTGTCTAAACCATCCAAGACAGATAGCTATCCAACCTCCAGTGAAAGAGCTTCCACAACCTCCCTAGGCAGTCTCTGTTCCTTTGTCCTATTGTTCTTCCCATTAGAAAGTTTTTCCTGAGATTTAATCTAAACCTTCTATGTTGTAATTTGACCCCATTGCCTCATCTGCCCTCTGAGGCAAGAGAGAACAACTTTTCTCCATTTTTTTATGTTATCCTCCTGAAATTTCTTTTGCGGTTATTTTGCCTGAATTGAATTTGATCCAGAGAAGAGAACAAAGTTCAAACACCGTTTTTTGGTTCATATTGGTTATTCCATATTTTTAAAAGTATAATAAACTTAAGTGACACTTATTAATAGAATTTGCTTGAAATTATATACAGTGAGCAGTTATAATGCATGTACATTCTTAAATATAAGCACTTTATGTAATGTGTTTATGTTCAGTACAATTATGGAAGGTGAAAAAGAGGCCATTTTTAGATAATTCTTAAATATAAGCACTTTCAGTACAATTATGGAAGGTGAAAAAGAGGCCATTTTTAGATCATCTAGTTCATCTGCTTGCCAATGTAGGATAGCTTAGTAAAGAACATTCCATTGTCCTTGTTTTAATCTAATCTAAAATCTCAAGCAGTAGAATTTACACTTCTTTTAGTATGATGTTTCAGAGCCATACATCTTCCAGTCTTGAAGATTTTTTTTCCAGATAATAAAAGTGTATATTTTTCTTCCCTTTCATCCCATTACTATAAGGCTAAGTAATTATCCTCTCTTTGTGGTGCTTTGTAGACATATTAACCCAGGGGTGGGAAATAATTTTTGCCCGGGGGCCACTTCAAAAAATTGCCGGAAGGAGCGGGGTCTAAACAGGAAGGGGCGGGACTCCCCAAGCTCAGACCATGATTGGTCTGCTGGTGGGGGAGCCCCTTTGTCCTCCCTTCCCACTAGGCACCCATGCCCTGGAAGAGTCTTGGCACATTCCCCCACCCCCAGGACAATCAGGGCCTGGGGGCGGGGAGCGAATGAGCCTCCTCCCGCCCTGCCAGGAGCACGTGGCACTTTGAAGTGCCGAGGGCTCCTCACAGGGCCGGGGGAAGGAAGCTTCATGCAGCTTTCCCTGCCCCCCGCCCCGCCACCCCCCAGCCCTGTTTGGCCTAGGGGTGGGGGAGCGCACAAAGCCTTCTCCACTCCCCACCCTCCTCCCTCTCCCCCCCGTCCTGTGAGCAGCCTGCAGCGCTTCAAAGCGCCACATGCTGCTGGTGGGGAGGGGGAGCATGCAAAGCCTTCTCCACTCCGCCCCCACCCTTCGAGCAGTGTGCAGCGCTTTGAAGCACCACACGCTGCTCGCAGGGTAGGGGCAGAGCAGAGAAGGCTTCGGGTGCTCCCAGGCCCTAATTGGCCTGGAGGTGGGGGAGCAGTAGGGCCTATGTGGGCTAGATCTGGCTCTCAGAGGCAATTTTGCCCACCCCGTATTAACCCTTATTTATCATTTAGCTCTTTAAACATTCATTCCTCCAGCTCCAGTCATGTTTGTTGCTCTTTGAGTTATTTCCACTTTATCAAACTCTTTTCTGATGATCAAGTATCAGAGGGGGAGCCGTGTTAGTCTGGATCTGCAAAAGCGACAAGGAGTCCGGTGACACCTTATAGAATAACAGATGTATTGGAGCATAAGCTTTCATGGGCAAAGACCCACTTTGTCAGATGCATGTCTGACGAAGTGGGTCTTTGCCCATGAAAGCTTATGTTCCAGCACTTCAGTTAGTCCATAAGGTGCCACATCTAATGATGTGGTTCTCAGAACTGTACCCAGCAATCTAAATGATTGCACCATAGCCATGTCTTTTTCTGCTTTCTGACGCAGTATAATTTGAGGCTACATGTTACTATGTGAAGATTTCAGTGTGTTTTTTTTTTTCCTGGTAACCACATCAACTTTACATCTAATTTTGCTGTCCAAAAAGAGTAAGGTCTTTTAGGCATTATTGTTTCTCAGCCTTTTTCTTTTCATTGGATTATCTTTCCCTGCATGTATTAGCTTGTATTTTTTTCTAAATAAGTTGTTCGTTTAGTAACATATAATTGAGTAAATATCCGGCCAATATTTATTGCAGGTGAAATAGCCTCCACCTGTAAAAGTGGTAGGGCCTTGAGGTTCATGCCACTTTTATCACAGGGTCCCTTTAATCTTCAGCAGATGGCTCTTTTTAATGTTATTACCTCCTGTAAGATTTACCATTTGTATGATAAAATAGGGCATGTAACTTTTCTGTGTGTTTTATTTCAGGTATGAATGTTTCAAGCACAAGAACACAGTCAATTATCCTCTGCTTTTTGTATTAATAACTTTGAGTTTCATAGTCAGCATAGTAAGTAACCTTTTCTTATGCAGAACTTTCACATATGTATTCGCAATTTTCCTAACACTTAAGGAATATTAACCTGGCAAAATTCCACCTCTTGTTCCTTATTGCTTGCTGTTGAAATTGGGCACAGGGGAATAATTCTGTTCAATGCTGCGGAGACCTAGTTTGTTATTACTTTGTGCAAAATGTAATTTATCTATTAGAAAGTTTAATCCTATCCATAAATAAAAATGGATCCAAAATACTTTGTGGAAATTGGAAAATTCTTTCATATGAAGAGGATAGGGGAGGTGATCCAGGTGCTAGGGTCTGGGAATGGGTCCAGTGGCCTATTTTTCTGACTTTCCTACTGCCTTGTTCTGTCTTAGGCAGTTTCTTTACCTTTCTGAGTTATAGCTTCCTCATCCATAAAATGAGGGTAATAATACTTCGTCATCTTTTGTAAAGTGCATTGAGTTCTACAGTTGGAAAGCAATACATATGCTAAATAGAAGTCAAAACTAGCCACAATTAAAAGTTAGCTGATTAAATTACCAAAATAAAAATGACACAGCTAAGGTTAATATGATTCTGTTCCTCAGTTAAGTGTGCTCCCTGTATGTTCGGGGGTGATACTATGGACCTAAAACAAATGTAGATGGAATCTCTATATTTGGTGACGAGCAATAAAGCCAAGTAACTCTACTAGTTTCATTGCTGAACCTTATCCTAATATAGAATCATAGAATACTAGAACTGTAAGGGACCTTGAGAGGTCATCAAGTCCAATCCCCTGCCCTTACTTCAGGACAAAGCATCATCTAGATCAGGGCTGCTCAACTTTGGAAGCCCTGAGGGCCACAATGTTACTCACAGCACATGCAGAGGGCTGCAACTTAAGTGTGGTTGCAGGTGTATGCAAATATATGCAAATAGCTTCTTTGACACTGACAGGCAAGAATACAAAGAATAAGGCAAGACTACACAATACACCATTTAAGTCAGTTCTCCTGATATTAATAAAATATAATATTTACCCAATTTCCACCCATATGACAGCACTTTTCATGAGCATTGACAGTCCAGGAATTTAACTACTAAAACAAATATCAACAGAAGACCATTATATTGATTACTTTTTTATTTTGGCTCCCACCCGCGAGCCGCATGTTGGGCCCCATGTAAATCCAAACTGCACCGCGGACCGCAAACAAACGGGCCACACGTTGAGTAGCCCTGATCTAGACCATCCCTGATAGATGTTTATCTAACCTGCTCTTAAATATCTCCAATAATGGAGATTCCACAACCTCCCTAGGCAACTTATTCCAGTGTTTAACCACTTTGACAGGAAGCTTTTTTTTAATATGCATAAAATGAGGGTAATAATACTTAGTCATCTTTTGTAAAGTGCATTGAGTTCTACAGTAGGAAAGCAATACATATGCTAAATAGAAGTCAAAACTAGCCACAATTAAAAGTTAGCTGATTAAATTACCAAAATAAAAATGACACAGCTAAGGTTAATATGATTCTGTTCCTCAGTTAAGTGTGCTCCCTGTATGTTCGGGGGTGATACTATGGACCTAAAACAAATGTAGATGGAATCTCTATATTTGGTGATGAGCAATAAAGCCAAGTAACTCTACTAGTTTCATTGCTGAACCTTATCCTAATATAGAATCATAGAATACTAGAACTGTAAGGGACCTTGAGAGGTCATCAAGTCCAATCCCCTGCCCTTACTTCAGGACAAAGCATCATCTAGATCAGGGCTACTCAACTTTGGAAGCCCTGAGGGCCACAATGTTACTCACAGCACATGCAGAGGGCTGCAACTTAAGTGTGGTTGCAGGTGTATGCAAATATATGCAAATAGCTTCTTTGACACTGACAGGCAAGAATACAAAGAATAAGGCAAGACTACACAATACACCATTTAAGTCAGTTCTCCTGATATTAATAAAATATAATATTTACCCAATTTCCACCCATATGACAGCACTTTTCATGAGCATTGACAGTCCAGGAATTTAACTACTAAAACAAATATCAACAGAAGACCATTATATTGATTACTTTTTTATTTTGGCTCCCACCCGCAGGCCCGCGTAAACCCAAACTGCCCCGCGGGCCACAAACAAACGGGCAGCAGGCCGCATGTAACCCACAGGCTGCATGTTGAGTAGCCCTGGACTATAGGATCAGATAGAGCATTAGGTCTTTTGCCTCTGTAGAGACCAATGAGTTTTACTTGAATGTCACTTCTAGCACACACACACATTGCTACACATTATCCAGCAAAGATATCTAAATGCATGTCTAAATGCAAACAACTACATTAATGCAGAATTAGTGTTACAGCAGGGGTCTCAACTCCTAGCCCGTGGGCCAGTTCTGACTAGAGTGAATACGCAATTCGTCTCGGGGGGGCTAGGGGACAGGCCTATCCATTATGGCCCCCAAATCCTTTCTCTTCTCATCATCAATCAAGAAAAAGGTCAAGAAAAAGTCTTCTTCCTCCTCCTTGTAACACCCTTTTAGGTACTTGAAAACTGCTATAATGTTCCCCTGTCTTCTCTTTTCCAAACTAAACAAACCCATTTCTTTCAGTCTGAAACAAAAAAATAATTCTTTTCATAGGTACTAGGGATCTGTGCTGCCTGGTCACAACGCTCACCAACCCCGTCTCACAGGGGAAGGCCAGGCTGCAGCAGCGACGCACCAGCCCAGTTGTGCCCCCAGATTGGTCTGGGGCAGAAGGGGCAGCGCTGAGGGCGAGGCTTTACCCACCCATGCTTACCTCTTTCGCACCCCCACGCCCCCCCAGCCTGTGGACACTGTGATGTGATGATGTTATTTTGTGCACCTCCTCCCCCCCAGCCTGTGGACACTGTGATGTGATGATGTTATTTTGTCATCCTATAGGAAACAATTTTCATATATGAGAGAGAGAGAGAGAGAGAGAGCTTTTTTTCAAAAACAGGTTTTGAACTCACTACCTTAATAGCAGGAGTCTACTGTAACTTTTTGTTAGTATCAATAGGAATAGGAAGTTACAAAAAATCTGTGTGTCTGTTAAATGATAATGTCAAGAAAAATGAATTGCCTAGGAGGACTATAGTTCAGCCTGTTTGAATATCAAGGATTATTCATGTTCAAAATGTTAATACATTTTAAACTTACGATGTGCATATTACAGTTTGAATAAATTGAGAGACTTTTTGATACGAACATCTCTATTTAAGGCAGCCATTAAAACTTTTTTTTTAAAATAATTTAAATCTGGAGGCACTCAAAGAATAAAATTCTGGTGCTTACTATTGCCAGGGGAAAGATCTCAGTTGCCTAATCAAGTGTAGTTCTGTGTAGATAGATGTATTTTCATTCTAACATGGTTTAAGTCTTTATTATTTTCAAAACACAAAACAACGTAAATCAGTATGTTAAACAAAGTATGTGTAACACTTTTTCTGTGACTTTTTGCAGATTTACCTAAATTTGAAAGAGCCTGTATTTCATCAGGTAAATCTTATTCCTTTGCAATTGATTCTTTAGCATAAAGACAGTCTTGTTAAATAATGTATGTAGTGTTGTTGTAATAATGTTGGTGTCATTTTTGTGTAGTACATCACCGTTTTTAAAATGAATAGTTGCCTTTCACATTTTTTACTGTTGTTCTTCAGACCTGTCATTGGGAGACCTGGAAAAAATATTGAACTCTCTCAAAATGTAATGATTGTATCTCATTATGAAGGAGTGATGAGATGAATGTAGTATTTGACTGAATATTTTACCTTGATAGTCAGTGATTATCTTATGTAAATAAACAGTGCTACTGTGGGGTGAAATGTGTGAGAGCAAGGGAAACCTGTCTACTCTCCTCTCTTGGTTTCTGAGAGGCTATCTGACCCAACTATCCAGCCCTAGTTGCTCCTTAATAGCAGTGCAGTCAGTTTGGTTTTCTGTTGGCTTCTCCTATTTCCTGTCAGAAGATAGGAAGGAAAACTGTCTTCTATATAAAGGCAGCTGTGTGAGAGAGAAACTGCCATTGAGTATTTTCAGCTGCAGCAGATACATAGAAATATATCTGGAATACTAACTCTTTGGCTCTCTGTGGCTTCCCTGCAATGTTCCCTCTAATAGGCAGAATACATTTTTATCTGCACCGAGGCATGTGCAAATGGGCATCACCAGTAGAAACAAAACCTAACCGTGGGTGCTCTGCTAATCAGCATTAGAATCTCTCCTGAGCATCCGCACAAGCACCCAGCTTTACAGGGGACACTGCTTTCCTGGTATTTATGCCTGTGATTTCAGTGATTTGACTGGGGCTTCAAAAGCACAAGTCATTTTGGAATGAAAACACTAGTAAAGCAGCAGAGAGTAGATGAATTGAGGGGCTTCAGCAGCAGGGACTACGCTATTACAGGCATGGGCAATAATTTTCGATGGGGGGCCACTCCAAGATTTTGGGAAGTGGTCAAGGCCGCACTCTTCCATCATATTAATGGAGATGCGGGGTCTGGGATGGGGGTTAGGTGCATAAAGGAGCTTGAGGTAAGGGATTGTGGTGCAGGTGTGAGAATGGAGTCTGGGAGGGAGTTTGGGTGAAGGAGGCAGTTGTCACCTAGGGTAGGTGACTGGAGCTCAGGGGCTTGGGATGTGAGCTAGGGTAGGAGGAGATTGTGATCTGGGACAGGAGTTTGGGGTGCCAGATCTGGAAGAGGATATGGGTGCAAGAGGGGGGCAGAGGGTTTGGGTATGTTGATTGGGTGACAGAGGGTTGGGGAAGGGAGGGCTGGAGTGCTAGAGGCAGGCTCTGGCTAAGAGATTTACCAGCCAGCAGCCCAGCCAGCCTATCTGCTTGCAGAGCTTAAAACATTTCCCAGCCAGCCTGTTTGCCCAGCCACGTGCTTTTGTGAATAACTGACCTGAGGAGAGGGGTTGTGGTTCTTCTTGGCTGCCTCTTATTCAAACAGGCAGCTCCCATGGGCCAGTTTCTGGCCAGAAACCGGCTAATGGAATTGTGGTGGGACTAAAGGCAGCTTCTGAAGCTATCCACCTTCCCTTCCAGTTTTAAACAGAAACAGGGCCTGGCAGCTATGTTTCTGAGCAGCATGTGGGACAAGCAGGGGAGCCTGCCTGGGGCTCCCTGATGCCTCCGTGGGCCAGATCCGGTGGCTTGGCGGGCCATATTTGGCTTGCAGACTGTATTTTGCCCAGGCCTGGGCTACTAATTCTGTTATGAGAGAGGTGGAGTATTGAGCAGCAGTTCTCGCCCTCTATCTCCCTCAGTGCATGTGTCATATTCCCTTTATCTGTACTCACCTAGCCTGTGTCTTCTAGAGAATTGTAGCAGGCTGTGTTTCCAAGCCCTTATGGTCACTTGCATGCTCAGAGATTGGGCTGTATATTGATAGGGAGAGGGTCTGCACTACCAGCATGGAGTGATGACTTTTTGTGCCGATATTTACGAATGCAAAAGGATAGCAACCGTGATTCTGTATCTGTATAGAATGAGAGTGGATATTTCCCCCCAAGGATGGCTGACTGAGGATAGCATCTGGAAACTTCATGTGCCCTCTGCATCAGAGGCAGCAAGGGGGAAGAGACAGGAGCTGGCATTCAAGCCAGCTCCCTCATGTGTACCAACTCCTGCCAAACTGCCGCCGCCTCCTTGTGCTGCTGCTTCAGAGAGGCAGCAGTGCAGGGGGTGGGAGGTGCAGGCATGAACCAGTACACATGGGAAGTAGCTTTCCAAGCCAGCTTTCTGCGTGTACCAGCCCCTACAGAGCTGTCTGCCCCTGTGCTGCTTCCTCTTTATCAAAGGCAGCGGGGGAGAGAGGGATGGGCAAGAACTAGTGCTCGCCTCTCCCCCACACCCTGGTATGTAAATGCGTAACAACTCTTGTGTTTTCAAAGTATTATAATGTAAGTGGTGCAGTTACTTAATGCCATATTTTAGAATTTCAGAGAAAAGCAACATATAGAACTGAAACAGACGTGAGGAGAACTTTTAAAATAACAGCACTTTTTTTTCTTTCATCTTTTTGGGGAGGCAGGGAAGAAACTTAGAATTTTTTATTCAGTTTAGAAGATGAGCTGGGAAATGTGTATAGAGGGTTTAAGCATTACTTTAAACTTACTTTGTGGCTCCATTTATATTTCTCCCTCAAGAAACCTCTAACATGATTCTACAGTTCTGATCCCTTCAGGATCACAGCACCAATTTACAGTGTTTAAATTCTTTGTGTCTGAGAGTGATGGTGTTTAGAGTATGTCAGGAAGAGCTATTTAAGAGAGTGAGAAACTGGAACAATAAACATGAATTAATCTTATTACTAACATGCTACTTTAAATTCTGGTTCTTTTTCTCAAGTTGTCAGCAATGTGTCTTTCCACTCACAGCAATAATCAGTTTTTACTCCTACATTATTAACTATTTTCCACGCAAGCCATTGAGGCACTAATTTTGAGGGGTCAAATCAGTGGCTCTAAGGAAAAATGCATTCCTTCAGGTTTTGCTACTTTATTCTGTCCACAGCTGCTACCAAAAGAAATACTTTTAGCCAGTGATTTACCAGGTGTTTCTTTAGACAGTTAAAGCCTTTCATACTTGTACAAAGAAACAGTGTAAGTCTGTTACGTGATAAAAGCTTGAAGTTGGCTGCTATTTTAACTAGAATGACAGAAATCTGTCTGTATAGCAGAAAGGGAGGAATGTTTAGAGATGGAAATTGTTGGCAAGAAGAATGCAGTAAGAAAAATGAATAAAAATACCAGTTGTTGTTAAGGGAGTTCTTTGATGTGCTGTCTCTCTTACTGTCTCTTTAGAACAGATCTTTTATTTGGGTAGGAAAGGGGAACAGAACTTCTTTCATTTGTACTTTTTGGAAGTCAGAGCTGAGACAAGACAGGCATGTTCCTTAATGCCCTACAAATACGAAAAGAACCTCAAACTGTACACAGTACAGGCAGTCCCTGGGTTACGTACAAGATAGGGACTATAGGTTTGTTCTTAAGTTGAATTTGTACGTAACTCGGAACTGGCTCCAGATTCAGCCGCTGCTGCTGAAACTGACCAGGAGCTGACTACAGGAAGCCGGAGGCAGAGTTGCTCTGCTCCCAGTTTCCTGGAATCAGCCACTGATCAGTTTCAACAGCAGCTGATTCTGGAGCCTGGGACAGAACAGCTGGGGTGCTGCCGGGTAGGTCCCCCCCAGGACCAACCCGGCAGCACCCCAGCTGCTCTACCCCAGGCGTCCACAACAAAAGCTTGGTCTGCTGGGGGGGGGCAGGCACACTAGCTGCGTCCCCCTTCCCCCTCCCCCCAGCAGACCAGGGAGACCCGGAGCAAAGCCACGGAGGCGGCGGGGTCCCGTGCCTCCAAGGCTTTGCTCCAGGTGTCCCTGGTCCACTGGTGGGGGGGGTCCCCAGCAGACCAGGGACACCCAGAGCAGCTTTTCTCACCCTGGAGGATGCGGTGGCGGGACCACTGCGCGTCTGGTGGTCCCGCCGCCCCCGAGTTCCAGGGCGAGAAAAGCCCCGTTCGTAAGTGCGGATCCGACATAAGTCAGATCCGCGTAACTCGGGGACTGCTTGTACTAAGAGGCGTGAAGATGGAGGACTCCACCTCTAGTTGTAGTAATTGTTGCATAATTGGGGACAAGTTACTTCACCTCAGTCTCTGTTTTCCCATATATAGAATAAGGAAAATCTTTGCTTCCTGTGTAAAATGCTTTGAAATATATGGGAAAAAGTGCAACATGTTGTTATTTCTACTAATGTGTTCTCATGTGGGCTGTTTACCTTAGAACTCCTATTGTTACAGGAGCACATTTGGGGCTTATGCATGTGAAAGAGGATGTGGACAACCATACATTATTTATTATTCATTTATTTTCCTGAATTGCTGCTTTTTACACTGGGTTGCTGTCCTGGAGTACGGATTTTCCTGAGCCATGTTCTCAACTGGTGTAAATTAGTAGAAATATACTGATACACACCATCTAAGAATTTAGCACCCCTTCTTTTTTGTCTCATTTTTGCCATGTAATTTAATTCAGACTGCTCTTTCTTTTTGAGGGCAAGAAACATTAAACAGTGCCCCATCTCTGCCTTAAGAGATTGTTATTTAACCCCACTGCCACTTCTCCTCTCATTCAGTCTTGTGGTCAGTCCTCTCCATATTATCTGCCCAGCTTTTAGTAGCATACCTGGGTCTGAACGCATTTGCTCCTGCTCTGTTGACTGAGTTTACAGTGCTGGGGTGGGTATTGAATTCAGTAAATCTTTGTCCTACAGCACTTGTCTTTCTGAGGATGCTAGGTGGTCATTCTCTAACTGATTAGCTTCAACACAACAGCAGCAGGGTTCTCAGTAAAATGAGATTTATTAGAAGTAGAGACCCTTTAAACAAAAGAAATACTTTGTATTGGCTACACTAGACCAAGTGTTCTCAACTGACGTTGTAAAAAGTTCACTTGTCCCAAAGAGCATTCTGTGGTTTTGACACTTGTGTCAAGATTCATCTCAAGCTATCCTGAGTGTATGTCCCCATCCTCTATTTATAAAACTCTTCCTGTGGATTCATTGTGGTATGCAGATAAGTTAACTTACTCCCTGTGCCGTGTGTCCACTACAAGACCATCCTATCCCTCATGAGATTCCATCTCAGTTAAGTGTTTAAAGATGGATTCACTTGTTTTGGTGGCAACTCCTAAAATCCTTTTGTTCAGCCAGTTCTGCAACTGCTTCTTCCCCACTTTATAAACCTCCCAGTTGACTTAGTTACATTATAGCTTTCCCTATGGGATGTAATAGTGTAGTCAATTAACCGATAAGCAAAAGCTTATCAGTTAATGCTATAGACTACATACATTTCCACGTTCCTCCCCCCTCTCCCGCCAGTACAGCCCAGGACCTACCCCCTGCTGCGGCTCTGCTTTAAAAGTGTATTAGCATGCAGGAAGGCAGCCTAGCTCCGTTCCATCTCATGTTGGTCCAGCAGCTCAGACCCGCTCCCTTCCTGGACAGGGGCTGCTGCCACCCTGCTCTGCTGCCTCTGTGTCAGAGGCAGCAGCATGGCATGACAGCCAGCCAGTCCATGAGAGGAGCTGGTTTTTAAACTGGCTCCTCTCGCTGACCAGCTGCCTCCTGGCACCCCACGCTGCTGCCTCTTATACGGAGTGACAAGGGGCTCCTCAGCAGTGGGGCCGGAGCGCACTGGCTGCCAGCTCCACTCCTGGGGACTGTAGAATAGTCGAATAACTGGCATATCATGATAGAGTTCTGTGAGCAGGCCAACAACTCAATCTCATCACGGTTTAGATAAAACCTCAATGCTGAACAGTATGGGTACGTCTAGACTACATGCCTCTGTCGCCAGAGGCATGTAGATTAGGCTACCAGACATAGGAAAATGAAGCGGCGATTTAAATAATCGCCGCTTCATTTAAATTTACATGGCTG